CTGCTGCTGCTGCTGCTGCTGCTGCTGCTGCTGCTGGCTTGGGCTCGGGCTCCGGCGGAGGCGGCGGCGGCTTTGGTGGGGTTGTTGTAACAACGGACTTGGCAGCAGCAGCAGCAGCAGGGGGTTTCGGCGCAGCAGGCGCAGGGGCCCGCGAAGCAGCAGCAGCAGCAGCAGCAGCAGCAGCAGCAGCAGCAGCAGCAGCAGCAGGAGGAATGTACTTTTCTCTTTTTAAAGGTTCTACAAATCCGTCAAGCCGCAAAAGACAGTCCGTGCAGCGCTGGCCTTCGAGTGTACTGTCACTCCACTTGGGGGTTTCCGCCGGAGCTGCAGCGCATGCAGAAAGAAGTTGAAAAGAAAAAAAAGTCCATTTGGAGAGTTTTTTGCATCAAAATGCATTTAATTATTCAAAATAAACATTTAAATCCTTTTTATTTCCTTTTTTTTAATTATTTTCCGCCAAATCCGCCAATTCGGGGCCGCCGGGAAGCAAATCTAGCAGGCCGTCTGAGGTGTACAGACACCTCGTGGCCCGGGGATTTTGAACTTTCTGCAGAACTTTTCTTTTAAAAAAAGACTTTGAAGTAAATTAAATCATTTAAATCATTTTAAAAACAAAAAAGATTAATTTAAGTCTTTGAAAAAACTAATTTACCCGCCGGCGCGCTTTCAGGGGCCGGTTTCGGCTTTTTCGCTTTTCCTCCTGCTGCTGCTGCGTCCGTGCTGCGCTGCTGCTGGTGCTGCTGCTGCTGCTGCTGCTGCTGCTGCTGCTGCGCGAGAGCTAAGGTTATTGAAGAATAAAGTTCAAATCCTTCAAATGGACTTCTTTCTTTTTCCAGTTCCGACTTTGCTTCCGAAGCAGAAGGCCCCAAAATCACAAGAGGGTGCAGCACGAGCTGCGGGCTGAAGGGCCCCACACTTTGCTGCTGCTCTGCTGCAGCGCCGCCGTCCTCAGCAGCAGCAGCAGCAGCAGCAGCAGCAGCAGCAGCAGCAGCAGCGGGACGCGGGCGAGGCAGAGAAGGGGCCCTCAACCTCGCGCCGTTGAAAAAGACGTTTTTTGTTTGCTGCAAAAGACAAACAGAAAGGGCTAACAGAAACACCTTAAAGCTGCTGCTGCTGCTGCTGCAGCAGCTGCTGCTGCTGCTGCTGCAGCTGCTGCTGCTGCAGCTTCGGGTGTATGCACAGCAGCAGCACCAGAACACCCAGCAGCAATCCAGGCAGCAGCAAAAGCTGCAGCAAACAACAAATAAATAAATTGAATAAATAAATAAATAAATAAATAAATAAAGAAATAAATAAATAAATAAATAAATAAATAAGTCCTGCCTCAGACTCCGAAGAAAATGCTTCTGCAGGAAGAGTCAAAGGGGGCAAAGCTGTTTGCTGCCAGGCCTTTCGGGTGTCTGTACAGCTCAAGTCTTCTTTTCTTTCGAAATCAATTTCCTCAAAAGAAGGAAAAGACACCAGCTGCAGCACACAAGCAGCACTCCAAACACTGCTGCTGCTGCTGCTGCTGCTGCTGCTGCTGCTGCTGCTGCTGCAGCCGGAGCTGCGGTCAGTGGGGCCCTATTTCTGTGGTGGGGCAGGTGCTGCTGCGGCGAAGTGCTGTGTTGCTGCGTCGCCGCCGCTGCGCATTTGCTGCTGCTGCTGCTGCTGCGTTGTTGCTGCTGCTGCTGCTGCTGTGTTGTTGTTGCTGCTGCTGCTGCTCTGCTGCAGGCTCGCGCACAGTTGTTCTTGAAGGGGGGAGCGCCATGGTGAAGAAAGGCTCCAGTGGGCAGCGGCGGAGGGAAGGCTGGGGGAAGTGGAAAGCTGCGGAAAATGGCTGCGATCTTCGGCTCTGGGCGCTTCCATATGTCCAATTTTGTTTTATTTTATCATTTAAATTGCAAAAGAAGTCCCAAATGAACAGAAAGAACAGTTGTGAGCGCCGGACATCGGGGTGGACCGTCGCGGCTGGCTGGTTCGGGTGTCTAGACACCTCAAAGAGCGGCAGCCGCAGGAAGAAAACCCTCAGAAAGCGCCATTTTTGCTGCGGTTGATTTCCTGAGGTCTTTTATTGAATTTAATTTAATTAATTTAATTCAAAAGGCCGCTGGAGGCGCTTTTTGGCTCTCTGCCGCCGCACGGAAGGTCGATGCTGCAGCAGCAGCGGCTGCTGCCGCCCGCTCAGCAGCTCGCACTCCGGGCCCTTTTCTCCGTTTTCTCCGCAACTTTTCGCAAACTTTCTTTCTTTTATTCCAAAATTAGTTCCATTTAATCCAAAAAAAAGAAAATAATTCAATTTCCGCCTTCTTTCCACTCCGGGCTGCCCGGAGGCGTCGGACCGCCGCCGCGGCCGACAGCTTCCTGCGGCGTTTCCGCAGTTCGCAGTTTTGCTGCAGCAGCAAAACTCCATTTTGCATTTATTTCTTTTTTCGCTCTTTTCTTTATTTTGCTTCTCCCAGTTTCAGAGAGTTGCTGCAGCAGCAGCAGCAGCAGCAGCGCTCAAGAGCCCAGATGGCAGCAGCAGCAGCAGCAGCAGCAGCAGCAGCAGCAGCAAATTCCATATCCACCAAAAGTGTTATTTCCACTAAGGCAAACACCCGCTGATAATTAACCAGCAAGAGCGCAGAAGCAGCAGCACCACCCCTGGCAGCGGCTAGCTGCTGCTGCTGCTGCTGCTGCTGCTGCTGCTGCTGCTGCTACTGTTGTTATTGTTGCTGCTGCTGCTGTTGCTGCTGCTGCTACCGTTGTTGCTGCTGCTGCTGCTGCTGCTCACTGTGCTCGGGTGTACAGACAGCTGGCTAGTCAAGGAATTCAAATGAAGTCAAAAATGAAAATAAAAAAAGGAAAGTGGAAGCCACGAGGTGTACGTACACCTGGCAGAAGGAAGATCTGCAGCAGCGCTATTCATTAAATTACTTTTAATTAATTTATTTTTAATTAATTAGTTAATTTATTTATTTATTTATTTAAAAGAAACAAAAACGAAGCAACTCAAGACATCATTTTTGTTTCTTTTCTTTTTATTTCTTTTAAAATTAATCCAAAATAAATTCAACTCCATTATACTAAGCTTTTACTGTGTAGCTACGCCGGCACGAGGGGAAGAATGGCTGCTGCTTTCAACAGCAGCAGCAGCAGCAGCAGCTGCTGCTGCTGCTTCTGCTGCTGCTGCTGCTGCAGCTGCTGCTGCTGCTGCTGCTACATGTTGTTTTGCCTGCAAAGAATGGCCTTGAGTGCTGCGTGTCTTTGAATGTCTGCTGGGGCTGTGCGGCCGACGCTTTGGAGGAACCTCCTGCTGCCTTCTGCTGCTGCTGCTGCTGCTGCTGCTGTTGCTGCTGCTGCTGCTGCTGCTGCTGGCGGCCTGAGCTCGCCCAGGGCGCTGCGAATTGCTGCAGCACAAGAAAGGCTCTTTGCTGCTTCTGTGGGAGTTGGCATAGTCTGCAGCAGCAGCAAACTTGTGTGCTGCTCAGTGGCGGGGGAAACGCTGGCAGTCCTGACGTCTGCTGCATCTGCTGCTGCTGCTGCTGCTGCTGCTGCTGCTGCTTCTGCTGCTTCTGCGTTTGCGCACTCTGCTGCTGCTGAGTCTTTTGCCGCCGCTGCAGCAGCAGCAGCAGCAGCAGCAACAACCTGTGCTGCAGCAGCCTCCAGAGCTGCCCAGGCGCTGCTGCTGGGGGAGGCCCCCAGAGCAGCAGCAAATCTTTCTTTTTCTTTATTTTTTAATTCTTTTTTATTTTTATTTGCAAAAGCAGCAAAAAGATCTTTTCGCGGCTTCTGCTTCTTCCTGGGCAGCGCGGGCAGCAGGGTGTCTGTACACCTGAGCTCGCCCTGCGGCTCCGCCGTTGCTGCTGCTGCTGCTGCTGCTGCTGCTGCTGCTGCTGCTGCTGCAGCGCCAGAAGCAGCCAGGGGGGGACTCAGCAGCAAAACAGAAAGTGGCAGGCTGTGGCTGTGAGCAGCAAAACACCCACTGGCCAGCAGCAGCAGCAGCTGCTGCAGGTGCTGCTGAGGCGAGCCTGGGAATCCCGGGGGGGGCCCTAAAGCCGGCGAAGCCGCCAGCGGCTCCGCAGCAGCAGCAGCAGCAGCAGCAGCAGCAGCAGCAGCAGCAGCAGCGGTTTCTTGCCTGGTCGAACTGGGGCGGAGGCGAGGAGACGCGCAGCCCGCTGCAGCTTCCCCGCTGCTGCTGCTGCTGCTGCTGCTGCGGGGCGACGGCTGCGCGGCGGCGTGCTGCAGCAGCAGCGCGGCGCGTCCGCGGCGTCGCGCGTGGTGCTGCTGCTGCAGCTTGCTGCGGCGCGCAGCAGCAGCAGCAGCAGCAGCAGCAGCAGCAGCGCAGAGAGCCTCCGGGGGCCGCCGCAGCTCTGCTGCCCCGTGAGCGTGCCTGCAGCGAGGGCCCAGGGGGCAGCCTGCTGCTGTCTGGAAGGCCCTGCAGAGCTGAGTCTTGAAGCAGCAAGAAGTGGCCCGCAGCTGCGAGGGCGAGTGGGAGTAGCGGCAAGCAGCAGCAGCGCAGCAGCCGCTGCGCTGCTGCTGCGGGCACATCCGAGTGCAAGTCAAGTCGAAGACTGGCCGCAGTTCTGCGGCGCTGTGGGCGAAGCTGCAGCGGGCTGGGAAGCTGCAGGGGCGGCCGCGGGCGCGGCCGCACAGCCGGGTCTTGTAGAAGTTGAAGAAGGTCTGCGGGAGGCCCCCCGGGGGGCCCCCCGGGGGCCCCGGAAACCCGCTCATGCTGCTTCGACTCAATTAATTCACTTTAAATCTCAAAAGGGACAAATAAAACCCATTTAGGGGCCCTCACTGCGCCGGAAGGCTCCGCTTTCGCCGGAGGGCTGCTGCTGCGGCGGCGGCGCGGGGCGGGCGAAGAAGGCGGCCTCAGCGCGCGTTCTGGGAGGCAAAAGCTGTGCTACTGAGGCTTTCTACACGATTGCATAGTTTGCTTTCAAAAAAACAAAGAAAGCTTTTAAAAAATCGAAGGAGTCCCGCGGATCGCCGCAGTGACCAGTGGACCACTCGTCGGCGGCGCCGTCCGCCGGGCGCCTCTTCAGAACAGCCACGGAAAAAACGGAGTCCAGTTCAAAAAGGCTCCTTAGGAAAAACAAACGGGAAAAAACTTTGTTGCGCTTCAGGGCTAAGATTTTCAAACAAGAATACAACTGACTTGCGTCGCGGCTCAAAGCTGCAGCGGAGCGCCGGGGTGCGCATACACCCCAGCAGCTCTGCGCACAGAACCCGTCACTCCAATAAACACTTTTTTAAAATACTTTTAAATAACTTTTATAAACAAAAAAATACTTTTTTCGACGAGTTTCAGCGGAAAATGCTGCGAATGCAGCTCCTGCTGCGCCCCGCTTTCCGCCAGCTTTCCCTGTGTCGCAGGGTCTCAACTCGGCTCCCGTTTCTCTCTTCTGGCGCTATTTTTCTGATTTCTTTGATTTCTTTTTTTGCAAAAACGCATTCTGTTCGAATAAATCCCTTCACCGCAAAAAGCACCTCCAGTAAGCGTTGCGTGCGGCCATTCGCGCGAAACTTGAATTTGCAAGTGCGATCACTCTTCTTGAACTGCAGCGAACATGGCGGAAACCATCAAAGGTGCTCCATTTAAACATCATTTTTCGTCATTTTTGCAATTAAATGCAATTATTAAATGCAATTAAATGCAATTAAATGCCAAAATCGAAGAAATCGCAAATGAATTTTCCCTCGGCTTCGACGCGCTGCCGACGACCCAGCAACTCGTAAGCCCACCTGCTGCTTGCTGCTGCTTCCCCCCCACTCTTAATGCTGCATTCTTTTCAGATTCAAGAAATTGAAAAGTGAGATTTTGAATTATTTTTTGAATTATTTTTTATTTCGAATTTAATTTTCCGCAGAGACAACGTGGAGGAGATGGCGGCGCTGGACGCCCAGCTGGACGCGGGGCGGCGGAAAGCAGTCTATTTGTGCGCGTTTTCGCTCCTTTTTCGAATTTAAATTAATTCTTTGGAAATTAAAAATTATAAATTCAAATAATAATCCAAAATAGCTTTCATTTAAGGCCTTTTAGGTGCCCAGGGCCCCCCTACGCCCGCAACTACGCAGCACTCTGCCCACAGGGCTGGACTCTGCAGCCGAACGGCTCTTGCTGGGGCCGGGGCTACCGGGGGTGAGCGTTGGGGTGTACGTACACCCCAGCAGCAGCAGCAGCGGCCCGCGCGAGCGCTTTGCTGTCACTTTTATTTTATTTTCAACTTCGCAGCCCCTGCGAGTCTCTGCACTTCTTCGGGGGCTTCGAAGAGTCCCGGAAGAGGAAGTTCGTGAGTTTTTGAAGTTCAAAAGTTGAAAGAAAGTTTGAAATAAAAGTTGAAGAAAGTTTGAAATAAAAGTTGAAGAAAGTTTGAAATAAAAGTTAAAGAAAGTTTGAAATAAAAATAAAAAAAAGAAATGAAATGACACTGCATTCTTCTCTCCGCATCAGGAACACGACTGCTGCGCCTACTGGCCCATGAAAGCAGCAGCAGCAGCAGCAGCAGCAGCAGCAGCAGCAGTTCTGCCTCCCTTGCCCCACGGCCCCGTAAGTGCCAGCTTCTGTTTTATTTAAATAAATAAATTTAAATTCAAAAAACAAAAATGAAAATGCAATTCAACACGTTCGGGTGTATGTACAGGTGGAGGCTGCCAGCGGCGCCATAATACGCCCCTCGCGGGTGTAGCTGCTGGCTGTGGATTTCTGTTGGAATTTCATTGTTTTGGAGTCATTTTAATTGCTTTTTAGTTCTTTTTTTTCGAATTATTGTTAATTTTTGTTAATTTTTGTTAATACTTAATTTACTTCGGACTTTGACTCATTTCTTCGCGAGAAGCGCGGCCTTGCCGGCCTTCTTGGCCGCCGCTTCCTGCTTCTTCTTCTCCCGCTCCAGAAGGTCTTGCTTGGCTTTCCTCGCAGTTTCCACATTTCTCACGAAGGCAAAAAGCTGCTTAAAGAATTCGTCGGGCTTTATTTTCTTCACGTCTTTCTCGGGGTAGCCCAAATAGTGGACTGTGGAGGTGAAGTCCTCCATGGCCTGCGCAGCAGCGGCGGCGGAAACTCGAAAAAAAGAGATTAAAAAGATCTTTTTCTTCCAATTAAAGCCTCCAAATGTTTATTAAATGCAATTTCTAACTTTAATAAACAAAAAAAATCGAAAAACGAACTCAGATCGCCCCAAAAACCCAAAACTTGAATTTCTGAATTTTCCAATTTTCTGAACTTCGCCCAAAGGCGCATGCAGCGCCGATCTCCGGGCCGCAGGTGAGTTGCAAATATTTAATTTCCGATTTTTAAACTTTGAGAATTCGAAATCCAATTTATCCCAAGCAAACTTGACAGTAGGGCACTGCAGCAGCAGCAGCAGCAGCAGCAGCAGCAACAGCAACAACAACAGCAGCAGCAACAGCAGCAGCAGCAGCAGCAAAAGCAGTAACAGCAGCAGCAGCAGCAGCAACAGCAGCAGCAGCAGCAGCAACAGCAGCAGCAGTAACAGCACCAGCAGCAGCAGCAGCAATAACAGCAGCAGCAGCAGCAATAACAGCAGCAGCAGCAGCAGCAGACCTCTTTGAGGAACTTTTCAAGTTCTGCAACTTTGGGTTCTGCCTCTTCGACGAATTCGTCCATGATGGTGGCCAGCGGGTCTTTTTCTCCCAAGACACCCGAAGCTTCGTTTCCCTTGCGGGCCATTTGGACAGTGTTTTTCACTTTCGCCACTCCTAAACCACAAAAAAGGGTTTGGAGCCGCCAAACCACAAAAAAGGGTTTGGAGCCGCCAAACCACAAAAAAGGGTTTGAAGCCGCCAAACCACAAAAAAGGGTTTGAAGCCGCCAAACCACAAAAAAGGGTTTGAAGCCGCCAAACCACAAAAAACGGTTTGAAGGGGACAAACCACAAAAAAGGGTTTGAAGCGGCCAAACCACGAAAAAGGGTTTGAAGGGGCCAAACCACAAAAAAGGGTTTAAAGTGGCGAAACCCCAAAAGAGCGTCTAAAGTGGCGAAACCACAAAAAAGGGTTTAAAGTGGCGAAACCACAAAAGAGGGTTTAAAGTGGCAGCAACGACTTGAAAAGAAGCAGCAAAAGGAAGAAAGGAATAAACAAAAGAAGCAGCAAAAGGAAGAAATGGAATAAATGAAAAGTTAAAAAGAAATAAAAGTGGAATTAAAAATAACAACAAAAAGAAATAAAAGTGGAATTAAAATAACAACAAAAAGAAATAAAAGTGGAATTAAAAATAACAACAAAAAGAAATAAAAGTGGAATTAAAAATAACAAAAAAAAGAAATAAAAGTGGAATTAAAATAACAACAAAAAGATATAAAAGTGGAATTAAAAATAACAAAAAAAAGAAATAAAAGTGGAATTAAAAATAAAAACAAAAAGAAATAAAAGTGGAATTAAAATAAAAAAAAGAAATAAAAGTGGAATTAAAAATAACAAAAAAAGAAATAAAAGTGGAATTAAAAATAACAAAAAAAAGAAATAAAAGTGGAATTAAAATAACAACAAAAAGAAATAAAAGTGGAATTAAAATAAAAAAAGAAATAAAAGTGGAATTAAAAATAACAAAAAAAAGAAATAAAAGTGGAATTAAAATAACAACAAGAAGATATAAAAGTGGAATTAAAAATAACAACAAAATGATATAAAAGTGGAATTAAAAATAACAAAAAAATGATATAAAAGTGGAATTAAAATAACAAAAAAATGATATAAAAGTGGAATTAAAAATAAAAAAAAGAAATAAAAGTGGAATTAAAAATAACAAAAAAAAGAAATAAAAGTGGAATTAAAATAACAACAACCCCACCCTGTTTTAAGGCCTGGATTTTTCCCTCGACGGCGCCGATGTCGATTTTCTGGGCTTTGTCGCAGACTTTGAGTTCTTCGAAAATATTCAACAAGTCCGGATTTTGATCCCAAACAATCTGCAGCATTTCGCAGCACTTTTGGCATTTTTTTAATCCATTTTCCGAATTATTTTCATTAATTCCCTTTTCCCTTTTCTTTTCCCTTTTTTCCCCAGAAAAAACCAGCAAAAAGCGACAAAAACGCATGCAGCAGCAGCAGCAGCAGCAGCAGCAGCAGCAGCAGCAGCAAGCACGCTAGTGTACATACACTTGAACTGCAGCAAGCAGCAGCAGCGCAACGCAGCAGCAAATCTCCGCCCCGCCCCCTTCCGCAGCAAACCCCCTTCCCCCCTCTTTGCTGCCCCGCGAATTCCCTAAACCGCGCCGCAAACCCCCATTTAGGGTTTAGGGTTTAGGGTTTAGGGTTTAGGGTTTGGAAGTAGAAGCACCCGCGCCGGACGCTTCCTAGGCCCCCAGGAGCCCGTTGGAAGCGCCGAAGGCCGCGCCTGCGGCCTGTAGGGCTTACGGTTTAGGGTTTAGGGTTTAGGGTTTAGGGTTTAGGGTTTAGGGTTTAGGGTTTAGGGTTTGCGGACGTCGCAGAGGTACTGGAGGAGAGTCCTGACGGGTTTGGTGGTGGAGCGAACTTCGGAAAGTTTGGCCAAAGTCGAGGGTTTGAAACCCTCGGCGTTTCCCCTTTGAGGGTCTCCTTCGTTGAGGAGGTTTCCGAGCTGCAGCACGGCGAACAGCAGGCTCTTGAGCCGTTTGCTGCTGCTTGCTGCTGCTGCTGCTGCTGCCAAGTGGTCCACTGGTCCACAGGCCTCCCGGAAGTTCTCCCCGAAGTTCAGCCCAAACAAATGACTCTCCAGCCGCGGCTTCATCAGCGGAATGCCCAGCATGGCGGCCACGAACTGCTCGGGCCGGTCCACTAGCCGCAGATCGCCCCCTGCAAGCAGCAGCAGCAGCACACTCCTGCTGCTGCTGCTGCTGCTGCTGCTGCTGCTGCTGCTGCGGGGGGGGGGCTGGGGTTAGTGCAGCTGTTGTGCGGGACTGCTGGAAGTGCAGCGTGCATGCGTGTGGAGTGGTGGGAATATGTGCACAAGTGCTAGTGGACATAAAAAGCAACAAGGTGGAAATGTATGCACAAATATGTAATGGATTTTTTAGACAAAAGTGGGATTTATGCACATATATGAATAGATAATGCAAAATGGAATTAATTCATCTAAAAAGATGCACCAAATTGTAAAAAATAATTGCAGAAATGAACATTTCAGCTTTGCAAATGCATGCGCTGTGCTGCGCATGGTCCAGTGTCCACGCGAGCCACGATCTGCACGATTATGCACTTTTAATGCACAATTGTGCAAAATAAATCCCAAATTTCGCTTTCATTTGTTATTTTTAATTCATTTATTCCTTTATTTGGCAAATTTCCTCCAAAACAAACCTGAATTGATGTATTCCTTCATCACCGCAGTTTCCTCCGGCGTGGGCACGAAGGTCAGGAGGCTCTCCGTCGCTTCCACAGTTAAAATCTGAATTAAAACTCGAAATAAACTAATTTTAAATTTAAAAATAATAAATAATATTCATTTATTAATTAATAACAAACTGGAGAAAGAAAAAATGGGAACAAACTCCCAAATTCAACAAAACAGAACTCGCAGACGCTATGGCAGCCTCCATTCACCCACAAACCCTAAACCCTAAACCCTAAACCCTAAACCCTAACCTTGGGGTTTAGGTCTATGATGGCCTCCCTGAGCTCTTGATAAGAATAATTGCTGAATTTGGCCAAAGCAATGTTCATGGTGTGGGACCTCTTGGAGTCCGGCAGCAGTTGAAGAACCTGCAAAAGCAACAAAACCCTAAACCCTAAACCCTAAACCCTAAACCCTCAGAGCTAGAGCACAGCTAGTCCCGTTGGACCAATCTCGCAACAAGGGAATGATCTGCTGAGCACTTGACTGCAAATAGTAAGCACGAGAACTCTTCCGCCACTAGGGTTTAGGGTTTGGGGTATGTTCAGGAAAATTAGGGTTTAGGGTTTAGGGTTTAGGGTTTGAAATTTCAGCGTACCTTTGGCTTCTTGACTTCTGTCTTCGCCTTCGGCGCCAGCTTGGCGAAAGTTTCCTCCACGTCTTCT